ATAGTTAAAATATAATAAAATATGAAAAATAAAACTTCAAACACAAATAGCGTATTCGTAATACAAAAGTAATCATAAATGCTGGATATTTCTGCTAACTAATAGTCAGTGGTAAATAGTGGAATTTTGTAACCTCTATTATCGTAGATTTTAGGTTCAAAATATACGATATCGTAATTGTTATGAAACAAAAACTGAATTTCGTTTAATAATGATTTTATTTGAAGCATATAAAATGTATAATTATTGTGTATTATATAAAATGTTAATTTTGTATATATTATTTTATATATTGTATAAGAAATCATTTTAACAGTATTTTAATAGTTAATAGTTATTAATTCTTACAACATCTTGTTTTTCAATAAAGTAGTGTTAAAAATTTATTATATGAAATATACATTCATTACATATTTCTTAATATTAAACGTATTGAATATAAAAATGTCTGATTTTGAACTGTTTGAAAAGATTTATTATAAAAATGGAAAAAGTTAATTTTTTCTTTATATTTATTATTTTAAATTTATAATTGGCTTATATGAAGTCATTTAGCAAATGTGTTTTATATTAATATAATGCACAAGAAAGTATAATTCATTAATGATCTTGTAATTATAATTGTAATTGATAATTATCTAATTATTATAATTAAATTAAATATTTTATATTAGACTCATAAGTTTTTCAGTTGTCTATTTTGTGGTAAGTTATTGATCAAATTTCTAGCTAATATATGTAGGTGATTTTATATTATTTTTATATAATTTATTATACTTTAGGATGAAATTGTGGATATATATTTTATTTTATTTATTGTGCACGTATTAACATATTAACATTGTCTGTTTTCACAAATGTAGAATAAGATTTTTAAAATGATATTAGCAGTACAAATGAAGTCAATAAATATAAAATATATTGTTAATTACAAAATAAAACAAGTATACAAAAATTATATTTTAATATTTTGATAATAAAATTTAATAGTATATTTTCTAATTATAATATTATAATAATATTGTCAGTATAATTTATTTGTTAAAATCTTAATTGTAGAAATTATGTAAATTCTTTATTATAGCGTACTTATATTTTGTGTGTGTGTAATGGTTTTGTATAGAAAAAATGAAATATGCAGTATAGCTACTGCATATTATAAAATATTGTATACTATATATTATATACTATATATTAAACATTATTTATTTATAAATTTCAATATAATTTAAGTAAAATTTAAATATTATTACCATAAGTATCAACATATTCAGAAATTTACTCAGGAATATCAGAAAATTTTTAATTTATTGATAATGATTTTTTATTTTAATCTATTTTTATTCTATTTTTTATTTTAATCTAATTTTAATCTATTTTATAGTATCTATTAATCTTTAACATGAAAGAAACAATAACTTAATTAATTAAATTATTTATTTTCAGCTAGGCCTAGAAAATAAATTTTGATTAATGCAATATATATTTTAGAATTTTTCTTAATGCCTATCATTTATCACTTTACATATACATATGTCCACTCCAATTAACCTCTTGTAACGCATATTTTCATTTTCATTTGTACTCATGCTATTCTTTCTTTTCTTTTCTGCCTTTTTTATTCTTGTATTTTTCCATTTTGTCTGCCCTTAACTATCTTATCTTTTCATGTGTAATTTTCTTCTATGCTTACTCTTTCTGCTATACTACATTTTTCTAATAAATATTATATTAAACTTATCTATCTTTTTTGTTCTTTTAAAACTATTTCTCTTTATATTTCTGCACCTTGTTTTTACCATCAATTTTTCACTTGCCTTTTTACAATTTGTATATTTTGACAATTTGCTTTTTCTGTTCTATTGTATTGTTTTTGTAATTACACTTTTCCATCTTTGCTTCTTAAAATCGTTATCTTATCATTGTAAAATTACGAAGTATGAAAACTCACATGGTGATGATATAATTTTGGATGGACTATTTCGATGTTTAAAGACGAAATAACATTTCGAGTTTCACGAAAAGTTGTTTAATTATAATTCGAGTGAATTGATTCTACATAATTTATAATGATTTTAATGTTTCTTTCGTGATGACAATTCAGAAGAGAGACATAATGACTGTGCTAAACATTGAATTGAAGTCTGCAAAAATGGGATCTGCGAATAATTTACTTTATTAAACAAATCTTAAAGAACATATTCTCAAACTAAAGCAAATATAAACAATATTATGAAGGGGCTCATGTGAAAAATCTGCACGTTTCAAATGATAACTAATGCAACTAGCAAATAATGCTTAAAAATAAACTATTTCGTCCATATAAGCTATGGACAAGATGTAAAACAAAAGTGTTAAATTCTGATCAGATATTATGTGATATTTAAGGAAAAAATATAAAAGAAAGTCAAGTTATTTGACAGCTTTCTAAAATTATTCATGTTATAGTATAGGTTTTATAGTTCTTAATTACTATTAAGGCTTGAACATTATTCTTGACCTTTTCTTAAATATTTTTCTCTATTCTATGTCTTTTTTTTTCTTAGTGTCTTATTCACTGACATTCTTCCTGTTATTTCTATCTTCATTTCAAATTTAATTATTTCATTCAAATTCAATTTGAGCCTCTGTAGTTTCTAGCAGTATAATTAAAGTATATAGGTCTGGATATATTGTCATTTTTGTAAAGTCTCGCTTATTTGTCTTATTTATATTATATTATTTTTCCTAATTCTTTCATCTCTTTGTGTGTTGTGTTTTATTTCTTTCGAGTATTTAAATATTTAAATTTATAAATACTTAAACACTTGAACTCTTTCATCTCTTCCATCTCTTACCTTTTCTTTTTATATTTTTTCCCTTTTGTAATGTTTATAATATAATTGGTCAGAGACTGCATTTTTTGACAAAAACAAAATCCTATTTAGGACCAAATTCTCTTCTTATGAAGAATTCATAATTGTATCCAATGTTAGTTGACCATAATTACTAGTAAGTATAGTCATAGATTAGTTGAATTTCACTCTAAGTTTACATTTTCTCCTACTCAACGTGTACACAATACAAATACAAAATACAAATATTTTTTATGATTATTAAAAATTCACAGGAATATAACATATCATTAAGGTTTAATATTTTAATAAAATGGTATTTTAAAGTATTTTTAAAATATAGAGGAGTAAATTATAGTTTTAATTTTAGTTGCTATCATAATTGCAATTATTATTGCAAATTGTTGTTATTATTTTATTTAACTGGAATTGCAGATTCTCAAAATAATTATAATTCTCAAATAATTTATTAAATATTTTAGTTATTGATATGATGTGTTATGGTATGTTTATTATTATTAATGATTGATTAAATCGATTGGACATGACAATCAACAATAATTAACGGGAAGTTTTGTGTAGAAAACTTAATAACAAAAACAGAAAATTTTAGAAAAATATGTCACGACATTTCAAAGTTGGTGAAGATTTGTAAAAAAGGGAAAATTCTTGAAAAACGTTCTTAAAATTTTATTAACTCGCATGGTTTTTATTAACATATTTACATTTTATAATTAAACAAGTATTATATATTTAAAATTATTTAAAATTACATATTTAAAATTTTTTCATTTAAGATCTTCAAGGGAATAAAGTTTAAATATGTCAAAAATTATACGATCTGTTATACGTGTATCTATTTGATAATTCAAATTTAATCTTTTTGGGAATGAAACATTTTATGAAAGAATTTTACTTCACATTTTCGACTTATTTTCACATGTAAAATAATCTAATTTCTGTTTAATCTAGAATTAGACAAATTCAAGTGTACTTGATATATGAATATGAATATTTAATTTTCATTTTCTCAAAAACTAAGCTTCGAAAGAAAAAACTTTTATTCTATATTTTTCCTTATCTTTTCATGAGAATTATCACACTCTGTATATTGATAATTATATATTTTTTTTTTGCAAGTGCAACAATGTGTATTACTGTTTGCACTTGCAATTTTTTTTGTGCTCAACATATGTTACATTAATTACGATTTCTTTCCATACTTAATCTTTAAGAATAAAAAAATAAGACGTATGTTAAATTAATATTATTTTTTTTTAAATTGAAAAAAGTAGTTAAATAAAAAAGTATAACTTCATTATCATATACTTCTGATTATTAATAAAATTATCATCAGTAATGATAGATTTATCATTTACTCCAGCAGGTCCAATTATTTATCATTATTTGCTTTACAGTTTTTAAAGCATCATCTTTATAATTATATGATTCTTTTACAAAATTATAACAGTTTAAATATTTAGTATCTAAATATTAATGGGAGTTACTGTATGTGTATACGGAATATACATTATATTTATACGTTTATACGTCGCTCATAAGTGAAATATGTAAAACATATGCATTATGCAAAATATATATACAATATATTTTCAATATATTATAAATATTTTTATTTATTATATTTCAAGCCTCACATTTTGCTTTCGTAAAAATATGCTTTTACATCAACAATGTATTGTATATCTAATAATTACTTTTCTACGAAATAAATTTTTTGAAATTCGTAGAAATATTACTTTTCTACGAATTTTTCCATAAAAAACCATGGAGATATTTAATTAAAGCCACAGAGAACTTCAACTGAAAATTTATTAAAATATGTATTTTTGTTTCACTGTTATTCATAAAATCAAAATACTCTTAAAAAGTTTTTT